CGTATCAGTCTTATGGTTCATAATCATATAATGAGCCACTTTTTTTTACTTTGGGTAGTATGGCTGTGCAGTTAAGTAATCTCACTTTCTGATAGGTATCATTTATTTAAAGCAAGTATACCATGCAGTATATCACCTTGAGAGCTGACTCTGGGATGGAAAAGTCTAAAAATGTGAAGAGAAAGAAATGAAAATGGGAAGCTACAGAATCAGAGAGAGCAACTGTACATATGCCAGTACATAATTTCACCCAGTCCCCAAAATTATAAATCACTGACTGCAAGTCACATCATAATTATTTATATCTTCCAAATTATAGACTTCAAAACCCATGTTCATTATTCTATCATAGCAAGTTCTGAATTATATTTTCTGGAATTTGAAGGATGACCTTAACTTGTTAAGGTGGGAGACATTCAGTAGAAAATGTGAACCAAATTATATCTGTCTAGATTCCTAATCAGTTAGAGATATATAAAGATATACTCAATATAATTGCATTTGTTACCTTTTCAACACTTCTAGGTTATGGGACAGAAGAGAAAGTGAAGTAAACAAGATCCCTGCTCTCAGGGACTTGTATTTTATAGAAAAGCAGACATTAAACAATTTACTACATATTAACATAGAGGATAATATAAAAGTGGTTATTAAACAGAATTTACCAAGAGCTCTCACACATAAACAAATTCTTTGGAGCATAAAATTTACCTCTCTCCCCAAATAGAAATAACTTGCTATTTTTTGCTAATATTAAAAATGTTATTGCCAATTAAGAATTTCATCGTACCTATTTATTTCTCTAAATTTGTGGAATGTTCTGATCTCTGTAGGTGCTGACTGCTTAATGGGAATCTACTTATTTGTGATTGGAGCCTTTGACCTAAAGTTTCGTGGAGAATACAATAAACATGCACAGCTGTGGATGGAGAGTATTCATTGCCAGCTGGTGGGCTCTTTGGCTATTCTGTCCACAGAAGTATCTGTTTTAATATTAACCTTTTTAACACTGGAAAAATATTTCTGCATTGTATATCCTTTTAAATCCTTAAGACCGAGAAAATGCAGAACAATTTCAGTTCTTATTCTCATTTGGACTGTTGGTTTTATAGTGGCTTTCATTCCATTGAGCAATAAGGGATTTTTCAAAAACTACTATGGCACCAATGGAGTATGTTTTCCTCTTCATTCAGAAGATACGGAAAGTATTGGAGCCCAGATTTATTCAGTGGCAATTTTTCTTGGTAAGCAACCCCATTTTCAAAGTTCTTTTACAATACATTAGAACATAAAACTCATACTTTCTAATCTTTATAAATTTTTATTTCAGATCTTCTAACCAGTTTTTCTCAGTGCTGGAAGATGTGGAGTCTACTAGAATCCCCTAGGGGATTTTTTTTTTTTTCCAAATTACTCTTTAATCATCCACCACTGATCTGTCACTTTGTTGTACTGTGGTGTCTTGCTTGTTGCAGTGATACTAGAAGCTATGCCACCAACTATTTAAACACCAGCAGGATCACCCAGGGTGGAAATTTTCAGCAGAGATTCTAGACTAAGCTAGACTAGGAAGAAGGAGAGGCAGACCACTTCTGAAGGGTTACACACTAAAAACCTAGAAATAGAAGTGGAGCATTGTCTGATACAATGCCGGAAGATGAGACCCTCAGATGGAAGGCACCCAAAATATAACTGGAGAAGAGCTGTATCCTCAAAGTGGAGTTGACCTTCATGATTTGGATGAAGCAAAGTTTTCAGGATCTTCATTAGCGATGGAGCATAACCCAAACTGAGAAGAAACAGCTGTAAATATCAATTAATAATCAAAGCAAGGAACGTATTAAGTAGGAATCTAGGAAAACTAAAAGTCACCAAAAGTAAATGATACACATAAAGATCAATGTTTTTGGCATTAGTGAGCAAAATGGACTGATATTAGCCATTTTTAATCTGATAATCATATGGCTTACAATGCCAGGAATGACAAATTGAAAAGGAAAGATGCCCCATTCATTGTCAATAAGAGCATTCCATTATCTATCTTTTTTTTTTTTGAGGGGTTGGTGAGGGGTAAGGGGTCCTTCTCATCTGTTTTACTGTAGGTAAAATATAAAACAGTTCCTGAGTTGATGAAAGACCAAAAGATGCAGCTTTCAGTGGTGAAGCTGTTTCCTCCAGGCAATAGGGAGTGGGTGAGGATAGGGGACTCAGGACTTGATATAATGTTAAGTACAATAGTGATACTTTGCTCCCTGATTTCATGGTTCCTTTCTTGTGAGAACAATACAAAGCATCAGAATGAACATTCATTGAATAGTTACTACTGAGAGTAATGTTCAAAATATTTTTTTCCACAAACAAAAGCTTTTATTGTGAATTGAATGATAGTTCACATGGCAGAACATCAGGTTTGCACTCAACCAGTTATAATTTGTTTCATTGCAATGATTACAATTCCCTCCATGTTCCATCAGTAAACAGTGTTTGCCTCTATGCCTGCTTTTTTTTTTTTTTAATGTACACAAAACCATACAGGAATATATAATCATTTAAACAACCAAGAGGCACATTTTGCAGCCTTTCTCTTTCCTTCCATGAGCCTAGAGTCCTCAGCTGCTCTATTTCCCCATGCCATCACTTCTGCCTCCATCTCTGGTGTCACTGCTTCTCTGTTTAGGATCCCATGTTCCGCTCATGCTCTTCTCTCTTGCTAGTGCTAGGGTCTTCTGTTCCTGGAATGTAAGATTAACTACAACCCCCCTTTTTGTTACACATCTTCTACCTTTACAGTTGTGACAACTGCAATTAGTCATTATAACAATTACTCACTATTGAATCAAAAGAATCCTATCTCCATTGCCATTTACCAGATCCATCTAGATAAGATGAAAACTATCTAATTGGGATTCTACCTTCCCTTCCCCACCCCTACACAACCCCCTCCCCACTCTGAAACTAAACTCCCTCTGGGAAACTTGTAAGCCAACCACTTTGTGCCTTTATAGCCTCCCCAACCACCCCCATTTTAGGTAGCCAATGTCTAAGTTGCCCATCTCTATCAACTCTGTGTACTGAGGAGACAGGCTTGATACTTGATGTGAAGACTCCTTCCTTCTTCATTGGTATTTTGAGCTACTACATCCATAAGCAAAGGTCAAGTTCACGAGCTATCTTGATATAAAGTGCTATCTGTGCAAGTATAATATTCATATGTCTATAAGAAACACCAGTTAATATGAATACTATTCAAATTTACACACCAACCACTAAGGCCAATGATGAAGAAATTGAAGAATTCTATCAACTTCTCCAGACTGAAATTGATCAAATATGAAATCAAGATTTTTCAAGCAGCTCATCTAGCCTTCTGTATAGAGTTTCTGAATCGGTAAATCTTTATGCGAGCAGAAAGCCCTATCTTTCTCCCACAATCATAATGATAAGACAGATAAATTGTTACTCTGCAAAAATCATAATCTTTAAAAAAGACCAGCCTTAATAGTCTGATAATGACTGTTGACTGTAGCCAAACTTCAGGTCTGGAACTAAATTCACCCCTCAATTTTGGGGCTCAATTTACAGCCAAACAATAGAAGGACTATACAGGGAATAATAACACTTGGGAGATACACACAAATATCAGAATAACCAACCATTTGAGATCAAAAGGGTAACATTTACCCAAGTGCATTGTTCAGAGGGTTAGGAAAGACGGATTGGAAATGGGAAACACAGGGAGGAGGTGGGGTTAGTGATGTTACATTGTGAGGATTACCATCCATGACATGAAACAAAATGTGTATGAATTGTTGAGTGAAAAACGGATTTGCTCTGTAAACCTTCACCTAATCCACACACAAAAAATTAAAAACAGAATAAAATTATTAGGATTTTTTAAATCATGCTCCCAACCAACATACCTCAGAAGGCTTGATGAGCTGCTTGAAAAATCTATGGAGCAATTCTACTCTGCATACACTGAGATGTTCTGAGTTGGAATGGTCTCCACACCAAAATCCTCACCACTGGACCGATAAACAACATTCTTATCAGCGGAAAAAAGATTGAAGTTGTCAAGGACTTCATTCTTCTTGGATCAACTATCAACACTCACATAAGCAGCAGTCAAGAAATGAAATGATGTATTTCATTAGGCAAATCTGCTGCACAAGACCTTTTTAAAGTGTTGAAGAGCAAAAATGTCAGTTTGAGGACTAAGGTGCACCTACCCAAGCCATGGTATTTTCAATAACCTCATATGCATGCGAAAGCTGGACAGTAAATAAGGAAGACTGTAGAGTTGATGCATTTGAGTTATAGTGTTGAGGGGAAAATATTGAAAGTGCCATGGGCTGCCATAAGAACAAACAGATCCGTTTCAGAAGAAGTGCATCCAGAGTGCTCCTTGAAGGCCAGATGGCCAAACTTCATCTCTCATACTTCAGATATATTGTCAGGAAGGACCAGTCACTGGAGAAAGATATCATGTTTGGTAAGGTGGAGGGTCAGAGTAAAAGAGGAAGACCCCCAACAAGATGGATTGGCCAAGTGGCAGCATCAATGGACTCAAGCGTGGCAACAATAGTGAGGTTGGCCTAGGATTGGGCAGTGTTTTGTTCTGCTGTGCATAAGGTCTCTGTAAGGTGGTACCGACTCGATGGCACCTAACAACAAAACCTTAAGAACAAATTTAGACACTAATAACCAAAGATCAAAGGAGTTGTGGATGACATCAAGAAATCCATACATGAAGAGAGCAAAAGGTGATATTGAAAAAAAAAAAAAAAAATAGACATAAACAAAAGAAAAGACAAAAGTGGGTGAGACTCTGAAACTTGATCTTCAACATGGAGAAATAAAGTATCTGGAAGAAATTATGAAGTAAGAGAACCAAACAGAAGATTTAAAAGGGCAGTTGGAGAAGACAACATAATGTTATGATGAAATGTGCAAACACCTAAAGTTAGAAACTCAACGGTAAGAGCACACTCAGCATTTTTCAATCTGAAATAACTGAAGAAAAAATTCAGGCTGGGCTGCAACACTGAAGGATTGTATGGGCAAAAAATTAAATGAAAAAGGAAGCATCAAAAGAAAATGGAAGGAATGAACAGTCGTTGTACCAAAAAGAATTTGTGGAAGTTCAATCATTTCAAGAGGAACAGTATGATCGTTTTGATGGCATTGAAGGAAAAAGTCCAAGCTGCACTGCAGGCTTTTGTGAAAAGCAAGAGTCAAGTAATTAATAGATTACAAATTGAAATATTTCAACAAACTGGTGCAGTACTGGAGATACTCTCTCTTCTGTGCCAAAAGATGTGAAAGACAATTACCTGGTCAACTGATTAGAAGAGATTCATATTTGTACCAATTTCAAAGAAAAGTGACCCAATAAAATAAAGAAATCATCCAAATCCTAAAATCATTAGTATTACACACAAGTAAAATTTTGGTGAAGATACTTCAAAAACAGTTGTAGCCATACTTCAACAGGGAGCTGCCAGAAACCTAAACTAGAGGAGAACAAAGAACAACAACAACAACAAAAAAAGATATCATTGATAACATCAAATGGATCTTGGCTGAAAACAGAGACTACCAGAAGGATGCTTACTTGTGTTTTATTGACTATACAAAGGCATTGGACTGTGTGGATCATAACAATTTATAGATAACATTGCAAATAATGGGTACTATCTGCAAATTTTGAAACAGCAATGTAAAAAGATTCTCAAAACACTCCTGGAGTCGGTTCCATGGTAGAGGTGACCCGACTCCCTGAGGCTGTTTGTACAAGTGTTGAATTTGTCTGCACAGTTCCCAAGCATGTCTGAACCAGTCAGAGTCCTTGTGACTGGAGCAGCTGGTCAAATTGCATATTCACTGCTGTACAGTATTGGAAATGGTGCTATCTTTGGTAAAGACCAGCCCCTGATTCTCATGCTGTTGGACATCACCCCCATGATGGGTGTCCTGGAAGGCGTCCTAATGGAACTGCAAGACTGTGCACTTCCTTTCCTGAAAGATATCATTGCAACAGATAAGGAAGAAGTTGCCTTCAAAGACCTGGATGTGGCAATTCTCGTGGGTTCCATGCCACAAAGAGAGAGCATGGAGAGGAAAGACTTACTGAAAGCAAATGTGAAAATCTTCAAGTCCCAGGGTACAGCCTTGGACAAATATGCCAAGAAGTCAGTTAAGGTTATCGTTGTGGGAAACCCCGCCAATACCAACTGCCTGACTGCCATAAAGTCAGCTCCATCCATCCCCAAGGAGAACTGCAGTTGCTTGACTCCTCTGGATCATAACTGAGCTATGGCTCAAATTGCACTAAAACTTGGTGTGGCTGCTAAAGATGTAAGGAATGTCATCATCTGGGGAAACCATTCCTCAACTCAGTATCCAGATGTCAACCATGCCAAGGTCAAATATCAAGGAAAAGAAGTTGGTGTTTATGAAGCTCTGAAAAATGACAGCTGGCTCAAGGGAGAATTCATCTTGATTGTGCAGCAGCGTGGCGCCGCTGTCATCAAGGCTCGGAAACTGTCCAGTGCAATGTCTGCTGAGAAAGCCATTGGAGACCACATCAGAGACATCTGGTTTGGAACCCCAGAGGAAGAATTTGTGTCCATGGGTATAATCTCTGATGGCAACTCCTATGGTGTTCCCGAGGATCTGCTCTACTCATTCCCTGTTGTAATCAAGAATAAGACCTGAAAGATTGTTGCGGGTCTCCCTATTAATGATTTCTCACATGAAAAGATGGATCTTACTGCAAAGGAACTGACAGAAGAAAAAAAAAAAACTGCTTTTGAGTTTCTTACCTCCGCCTGACTAGACAATCATTTTAATGCTACTAAATGCCCCAAAGCAGAAGAATCTAAATGTCGTCTTTGACTTTAGTACCAAATAATAATATTGCTATACTTAAGTTACTTGTGAAAACAACACATTTCAAGGATTATGTGCTTCTTGGTACAAATTTGTGACAGTTTATCATCATGGTGTTAAG